AGACAAAAGTGGTGACCACCAAAGCAAGTGACCTTCATCTCTTTGCCACATTGTAGGGGGTGGCAGAGAATGCAGCCCAGACCCGTAGTGCCCACAGAGACTTAAGAGTCACAGAATGGTTTAGATTGGAAAACACCCTTAAGATCATCCAGTCCAACTGTTAACCTAGCACTGCCAAGTCCACTACTAAACCATGCCTCTAAGAACCACATCTACACGACTTTTAAATACCTCCAGGGATGGTGACTCAACCACTTCCCTGGGCAGCCTGTTCCAATGCTTGACAACCCTTTTGGTGAAGAAATATTTCCTAATATCAAATCCAAACCTCCCCCAGTGCAACTTGAGGCCATTTCCTCTCATTCTATCGCTAGTTATTTGAGAAAAAGACTGACGCCCACCTCACTACAACCTCCCCTCAGATAGTTGTAGAGAGCGATAAGGTCTCTCCTCAGCTTCCTCTTCTCCAGACTAAACAACCCCAGTTCCCTCAGCCGCTCCTCATAAGACTCGTGCTCTAGACACTTCATTAGCTTTGCTGCCCTTCTTTGGACACACTCCAGCATTTCAATGTCCTTCCTGTAGTGAGGGGCCCAAAACTAAACACAGTATTTGAGGTGCAGCCTCATGAATGCCAAGTACAGCGGTACAATCACTTCCCTAATCCTGCTGGCCACACTATTTCTGATACAAGTCAGGACGCTGTTGGCCTTCTTGGCCACCTGGGCACACTGCTGGCTCATGTTCAGCCGGCTGTCAACCAGCACCGCCAGGTCCTTTTCATCTGGGCAGCTCTCCAGCCACTCTTACCCAAGCCTGTAGCATTGCATGGGGCTGTTGTGACCCAAGTGCAGGACCCTGCACTTGGCCTTATTTAACCTCATAGAATTGACCTCGTCCCATCGATCCAGCCTGTCCGGATCCCTCTGCAGAGCCCTCCTACCCTCCAGCAAACCAACACTCCCATCCAGCTTGGTGTCACCTGCAAACACTGTGGGAGCACTCGATCCCCTCACCCAATTCATCAATAAAGATATTGAATAAGACCATCCCCAGAACCGAGCCCTGGGGAACACCGCTTGTGACAGGTCGCCAGCCGGATTTAACGCCGTTCACCACAACTCTCTGGGCTCGGTCATCCAGCCAGTTCTTTACCCAGCAAAGGGTACACCTGGCTCCCGTCCCCTCGATGCCCCCACAGCTCTAACATGTTACTACGCTTTGCGCTATGAAATAATGTGAGGATTAGCTTGTAGGGGCCAATGTGCACAGCCGGGTTGGCGCTGCGAGGGCAGCACACAGAGACTCCCACTTTGGGGGTCTCCCTGGGATGGTATCTCCCCAGCAGGTGCATCAGGGGGGTGTCAGGAGGGGAACGTCCACAGTTGGCAGGGTGTCCGCACACAACTGTGTGTGTGCACATATGCGAGTGTTGTGGGATTACAGAACAGTGTGAGAAATTTGTAGGAATTTACTAAGATTTCGTAAATGATTTGCGCTGTATTACCAATACTGAACATACCATCTAGTGATTAATTTCTAATTATGTGTTGTTAATAAATTCCTAAAGAAGCTTTAATCCTGATTTTGATTTACACTAGGTGAACTGAGAAGTTTTTATCCTGCAGTCTGACAGAAGGGTGCTGTTGTAGCATGATGCCCCTGGCTCCCATTGCTTCCCTTGTGGTGTAGCACATGGCACAGAACCTGATGGGATGTTGCCGGCAGCTTATATATACAAAAGCTAATTCTCTGCAAACCCAAACCCATCTGCTTTTCAATGCTGCAGAAAGGGTTTGATTTAATGAGAAACCTTGCAAGTGAAAAATAGAAGAGAGGAGGCAGGACAGAGTGCAGAAAAGGAGATCTGACACTCTCCTGAGGGAAGGTGCAATGGAGAAGGCCAGGATGAATGATGCCATGGAGAAGGATGTGCAGTGGCAGAGGAGGAGATGACAGTACGGGTTAGAAATATCAACAGGTAAGGAGGGAGAGATGAAGCAGAGCTGCTGAAACCGGCACTCAAAGAACAGTCAGTAAGTTGGGAAGGACTAGAAAAAATGGAAAAATAGAAAAAGAAGGGGAAATAGAAGAGGAGGTAGTGATTTCTTGTGCTGGAGGGAAGAGAGAATTCAAACAGAGCATGAAGAAAGAAGTATTTGCTTAAACTGCCTAGAAAAGCAGCCGCCGGGAGGGCAGTTTTGTCTGAGAGAGAGAAAGGTGGACTGCGAAGCATCAAGGGAAGCAGAAAGCCACCAGAGCAAAATGCCTGGAGGCAGGATTAGAGGGATGGTGGTGGCCTGAGAAGTTTTTGCAATAAAATTAAAAATTAAATGGTTCTAGTCAAACCTGGAAGGAAAATGAAAATTCACCACAAGGAAAATAAAACTGGGAATAACAAGGAAAAAACCTTTCTCCATATCCTGTTTCTTGCATTTTTTCCCAAGTGTACCTGTACCTAGAAAAACAGAAGAGATCTGAATTTAAGTATGATGTAATATTCATTAAGTTTAGCACTGAAAGTATGTCTGTTCAGGAAAGTGTTTAAGTCTCATTAAAGTGAAAAGGATTTACACACAGGCTAATGTAAAATATAACTTTAACTCCTTCCCAATCACACTCCTGGATCATTAACATGGTCTATGATTTAGCACCAAGGCAGCAACAATGCAGAGATTATGTGACAAATGCTGTCGATACTATCTGTGTATCGACTGGTTCATTCAGCATGCATATTTTTTTGTTTCTGAAAATGATGAATATTCATGTAAAACTTGAAAGTTGTGACTCTGGGTGATTCTGAGCCTGCATCTCTCCTTCAGATGGTAGAGGATTAGCCACCAATTCAATTTGACAGCAATGTCCTGTTAGCATCTGTGTACATTTATTTCTTGTTTTCAGCACGAGACCTAACCACTGAAGGGAAGTTAGCCTGCGCATATACGAAATTTATTTAATTGGTTAATTTGTGCAATATCATTGTATTTTATTATTTATGTTGTTTTATGTTAAAGGAAGAAAAACACACTCCAGAAAAAGCTGACAAAAGATAACTACATAGGGTGGATTGTTGCCCATTATTCTCTATTGTATTTATTCAAATTAACCTAAACATTTATATCAAAAGAATTAGTGATAGCAAAATATGTATAATTGATGAGAAAAAAAAAAATTAAAGAATGCTTAATCCCTCTTTTTCTTTAGCTGTACATTAATAAGTGCTGCAGGGCTGGTTAACAATCTCTGCCAGTAACAGCACAAAGGCAATATTGTCAGGACAGCTCAGGAGGCCTGGAGCCTGTGGGCTGAAATCCCTATAGCACATTAAATTCTGGAATTTTGTTGACGAAACTGGGGTAGTGAAGTTCCAGTTTTACAGGATCAGGAGGTGCTTCCCATAGAGGAGACTATTACCAGAGCCAACTAGCAGCTTTGAAAAGAAAACAAATAGGAAAAAATCCAGATGAGCTCAAGGTCAGGTGTGGCTCAAAGCTCCAAAACCAAAATACAGACTAAAACTTCCTTTTTTTTTTTTTTCTTCCTGTTTTTTTCTCAGACAACATGGTGAAACATTCTGCTTTCATTCATCATTTCTTGATGTAATGGCACAATGTCCTAAAATTAGGTCACAGTATGAAGTGCAACAAAACTTCTCAAACCATCATTTTGAGGTGTAAAAGCTGAACCAAGATCAGCTATGAGCTCATTTCCTATGGTCCAAGCCTGTTGAGAGGGCACATTCCACACTCAGGTAGTGAGGGAATGGGAGGAGAACCAAAGATGTATGGACAATGGGATGCTACTAAACACCAGAATGACCCATCACTGTAGTCATATACAATAATGCACAGTCACCAGTATATCAAAACTAGACACGCGACTTGAAGAAGAAAGGTCTTTTAGCTGTACAGATGCATTAATTATACAATCAGGTACACAAGAGTTGTTGTAAGATGTATTACTAAATGCCTTGTAGTCTCATAAGCCCTAAAGTAAGGTTATCTGTCAATACGCTCGCTTTCCATCTCAAGCAATACCTCATTTCAGGGGAGAATTAGCCATATTTTATTCACTCATACGTGATGAACCTCGAAATGAGTCTCTCTCATTCTTTCCCTCGTGCTCCCATCTCTACCATGAATGTCTTCTTTTTATAAAGAAGCTATGCGTTTCCAAGTATCTGGGCACATCTGTTTTCTCTTTTCTTCCTCCACCCATCATGTCACCATCTCTAACAAGTTTTTGCTCTCCCAGTAACTGTTATGTTCTCATTTTTTCTTGCTCTCCAGCTCCCCTTTCTGTGTTCTTTGGACACCTCTCCAAGAGTGTATCTGTCCTTCTGGCATGTGCTTTCTTCCTCCCCTCACACCTCCGTGTGACTCTCAGGTCCTGTGTCTGCAAAACTCATTCCCAACATATACAGTCCGTGTGGTTTCCTTCCCTTCTGCTGTTTAATCTGGAAGAAAAAATCCAGTTCAAAATATCACACTGCCACTCCTTGAGCTTAATAAAACCTACCTCTCTGCATCTGCTACTGCTCTTTGGTCCAAAAGCCTGTTCTTCTCACGTTCCTACAGCCCAGTGATTGCTTTCTCTTTGCATGGAAACAATCTCTCTGATGTTCCTTCCCCTGCCAAATCTGTATCAGCTGGTGAGTTTTCCATGTTCATCTATGGTGTTTTACATATTGTATCTATTCCGTTGCCCTACTTCTTCAGGTTCTGGGGAGGTTTTATTCCTCTCAGGACAAAACTTGCCGTGAGTTGTCCCAGCATCTAACACCACTGCTGACCTCAATTTTTATGAAAACACTTATTTATTTTAAAGAGCATCAGGGATAAGACTTTTAAAGATTCCTCCCAACAGTGTAAGTTACATGTTTTTTTCAGCAAATGACACAGTACGTTTGGAAACCAACAGCTTTATAACACTGTTATATTCTCCTCATACAAGAGCCGTTTTAGAGATGCCACAGATGCACAAAACTGATTCCACCTTACCTTTGACGTGGCTTCTCCCATCCTCCAACAGTGGTACTACTATAGTGTTGTTCATATTCCCAGGTGATCTCACAGCTGTATAGACAACAGGTACCGACTGTACCACCACGGGGATACGGTGCACATGACTCATTTTGTTGGACTGCAAGTTCATGGGGCTTGAAGGTGGTACTGGATGGATAATGTGCAAAAACTGCTGGCCTCCAACACCAGATGCAGAGGCCACAAGAGGACCTGGAGTTAATACTGATGGTACAGATGCCGCTGAGGATACCGATGTTATTACTGTGGGTGATGAAGCTGGCCGACTAGAAGAAGAAGAAGTAGAAGTAGAAGAAGGGGAGGAGGCTGATGCTGTCATGGAAACTGGTGAAGATGAAGCTGCTGTAGGGGATGACCTGGCTTTGTTTATTGACAAGTCCACTGGTTCAGTCTGTGTTTGGAAATGGTCTGTAGATAATGAATCCTCTGCAGGGTCTGCCTTCATGTTGTTTAGTAACAAGGGTACAGCTTCCATATCTGGGTAGTTGTGGACGTTTGGTGACTGTTGAGGAAGGACAAACAGACATAGTTACATATGTGGCTAGAGATGACTTGCATACCCAATTGCTAACACACATCATACAACTTGGTCATGAAAGACACAGGATTTGCTTCCTTTTCTTGTGTCAGATCATAATTTTAAAGGACAAATCACGCTAGAAAGAACAGACATGTTCAGTCTGAACATATTAAAAAAACATATTTTAAAAAAGTTCTACTCCCATTCCTTAGAAGGTGGCAGGATTAACTGTACAAAATCACCCTGTTTCTTTGCACTACACAAAGTCATTGGTGACAAATACCTACCTTTTTTATTTTAATTTATTAAAATTTAGTATCTCCACAGGTAACCACTATTTATATTGCCAGGATTTTTCTTCCCAACATCTATCTTTAAGCTACAGCCTTACTCTCTTGTGTCATCCCCAATGGACATGAAGAAAAGCTGGTTACCACCATTTGTCAAACAACCTTCTGTGTGCTTGAAGACTGTAATTTCACCCTACTTGTCTACCTTCATCCAGACTAGGCAGACCTTGCTGCTTCTTTCTGTCGTAAGTCACCTTTAGAAGAAGAAGCTTTAGCACTCGTTTGCTCTTTGCAGTGATCTTTGTAGTTTTGTCCACCCCACTTTTCAGAAGGTGGTGCGTTATGCTAAACACAGTCCTTCAGTTCTATGTTTGACTTTTTGCATTCTGCATGGTTACTGATAATGAACTTACAGGTCAGTACAGAGCCCCATTGCATGGCTGTCCTGTTACAGGCAGCAATGGGGCTACAGTGGTTTGTTATTCTGAATTAGCATATCAGGTAGCCTTTCCCAATGTTATACTTTTATTTTTTTTATTTTTCCATATAAATAAAGAACAATTTTCCTGACTTCGCAAAATAATTTTATGCTTTAGACCAACTATTTCAAAGCTGATTGGTCTAAATTTATCCTAGACTGGTACTATCTGCTACTTCTATAGCTTTCTTCCTTATTTCCATCATCAGAGAGGTTAATAGAATTTTTGAATAATGTTAGGCCAAAGATAGAACCCCGGAGGAGCTCATTTGATATATCTTTCCTTTTTGATAGTACCTCATTAATAACTACTCTTTAAAAATGTTTTTTCAAGTAATTTTCAATAGACAGATCAAGGAAGGAAATGCCCATCGATAACCTGGTAGTAAGACAAAGCACAGCTCTCAGATCCTCAGCTAAATACCTCCATGGCACTGCACTGCAGCAGAGCTTCTCTACAGGCATGCACACACACCCCGTCATGTGCTGCAGTATGGAAAACCAACCTTGATAACAAACATTTGCCAAACTACTTCAAACCTCACTCGACCCAAAGCAATTATTCCATATACAGATCTAACAAGCAATCTTTTTATGGTACCTAAGCAGCTCTAAATGCATTCTCTTGAACTCTAGATCATAGTATTTACTAAGTATCTAAAAATATTAAGTCAGAAATATTTAAGCCACAAATATTTTAGTTCGTCTACTATAAATATGCTAACAATCAAACAGGCTATGAATCCACTTTGGGATTTTTATAATCAACTGTGTTAAATATTTTCATGGAGAACCCTCCTAGTTTTGAGTCAGAGCCAGATTTCATCACAGAATGGAGTTCTATTGCAAAAGGAAAAGAGAAACACAAATATTAAAAATTGTAACAATAACAGCCTAAGTGGATATTTTCCCTGGCATGCTGAAAGGTGAGATGTTCTAGTAGATCCCATCTATTCAGCTGATTCAGACTGGTTCTTGGATCTGACATTTTCCCCCATTTGTAAGCAAGAACATCTCTAGAACAGCAAGTCTCTTCCTCTATTCATACACAAATCAACTTAAGACAAAGGGACCCCAATTCATCTGGCCCCTGGACCCTGCTGTTCTGCTATAATACAAATAACAAAAGCAAAAATCCCTTTATAAACACAATGGGAAGTTCTCCTGCTAAAAAAGAACATGGAGTGAAGAACAGGTCACTTTTCAAAGCGCATAACCAGTTACAAGTGACAAGGTTACAAAAACTTCTTCCTCAAGAGGGCAAAACCACCCATAATTGCCCAGAGATGACTCCTGATAACTTCCTCTGAAACACCTTATCCAGGCTACTGTCAGTAATGAGGTTCTGCATTAGGCATACCATATGTGCCATGATAAAGACGAAACTATAAACATACATGGCACAAGTAGTTCATTTGTCAGATCTTGACAAGTCTCATGTATGCAATGGGCAAACAGACTGGTCCTAGAAGGCAAGACGGAGAGGGACACCCTGCACAGGCTATACCCAAACCTTCATAAGGCCAATGGCAACACCTTCTATCTTGAATGTTTGGGAGAAGGGTGATGAATGGGATCAACTCACGACAAGGGAGATGAAGGATCCCTTTGTGCACATGGCTGGGCAAACACCATCTAGAACCAGTACAGATCGCCAGCTCCATCCACAGGGCAGATAAATGTGCCACTGAGGAAATCCTACATGTTGATGTACTTTGAGGCTTCCCCTGGGTGCCACAGGCAGATTTCAGGTTGACCCAATGCCATCTGCCTCAGCAACGCAACTTGTTACTCTGTGAGCTGAAGGATGGATTACCCAGGTCTTGCTGTCCTCCACTGCTCTTCAGAGCACCCTGAAGTGCTCTGAGGGCAGCAGGGACTTGATGTACCTAGCGTATGCATGTCAGGCTGCTCGCAGGAGTCTTCTGACTTCTGGGATACTTCCGAGACTGGACACAAGGGATCCACATGGACCTCAAAAGCAGTCCGTCACCAAACTGAGTGCAGTCTACCCCAAAGTCCCACCTGCCTTTGCAGCAAGCAGCATCAGGTCCCTTAAAGGAAGAGTAAGGAAGAACCCCAAACCCTTATATAGCTGATGCAACAGGAAGTACTCATTCCATGGATAGAGTCAATTGTCTTTGAGACAAAGAACAGGTCATGACTTACAGATTTTTCTAGATTGTGCTAAGAACAGGCCTTTGTTTTATCAGAGTAATTACACTAGTCTTTTGGGAATTAAAAAAAAAAAAAAAAAGGAAAAAAGTATCATGTCACTGCAGTCTCTCATACAAATCACTTTCTCTTTCAATAGGTTTTCTGCATTTCCATTTCTACTGTACATTCCTTATATTGCATCTCCCTTTCACTAGGTACCCTCTTCTTGTTCAGAGCTGCTGGATGGGCCAAGCAGTCTCTTATGTACTATGGTAATACAGCTGATATGATTATTTTGGAGTTCAGTAGTGAAACTGAACTTGAAACCTTTACAACCACTTCATAGATTTCTCCAAACGAGATGAAAGATGGTATGCCTTTCAAGGCCTCCCTTCCCTGCCAAAACTCTAAGACTAAGAATGCCTTTTCTTTGGCAAATTCAGGCTGTGACTGATGTCAGTCAACATTACAAAAGACAGCAGGATCCTTATCAAAAGGTTTGTACATCCTGTACTTAGGATAAAAACTGTAAACAAGTGTTATATTTTCTTCTGGTGGCAGTGAACAAAGAGATTTACCTCAACAACTCACGCTCCCTTACAGTGACCTACAAGTGGTATAAATGTTTATCCATGATCTCAGATGCTATCTAAGCTGCTAAAGCTCTATTTAAACTGTATTTGAATCAAAACTTTGAACATTAAATTATCATTATTTTCTGAAAATGGATGGTATAAGCAAACCTTTCCCAACAACAGTGATTATTGCAGAATTAGGAACTACAGGACAAAGACTAGCAAAGAAACCAAAAGAGATGGCTAAATTCTCAGCACACTATTTCTTAGCATCTCCCCAGAACACTATTAACTGAGAATTAACTGTTCATTTCCCCAGATGATGACTGTTGCCATTAGTTTTACTTAACGGAACCACATCTGTTCTAATGGAGAAGATCAGAATACTATGGCTGGGATATTCAGAAGCATATCTTCAGCCATTCTGTCAGCTCATAAGTCAACTGGATGAAAAACAAATGGTTGTGTGTTTTTTTCTTCTGTCTCTCTATTCCTGCCTTTCCATCCTCATCTAGTGAACTGGGCTTCTTGCGGTGGTGTGGGCTCAGCTGATTGCTAGTTTCAGCGTCTAAAACAGGTTTCCCCTGTCTGGCTCCCAAAAGTGTCTATGTTGGTTTTGCAAACTTCAGTTTGGTTTTAGGGGTCTAAACTCTGTTACTGAGAGTTTGGCAGCTTCCAGAGTGTTTGGTGGGTTAGAAAGGGTTCAGCCTGAGGTCCCTGTAACCCAGTGGGCTGCCCTGGATGCCAGCCCAGACCATGGAAACACAACTCGAAGGGGTACAGCTCCACGCGGCTCTCCTCATCTCACTGCTCCTGCCCACTGGTACAAAGGAGAGGGACAGCTTCAGCCTTGCCTCCAGCTGGGACTCGGTGGCAAATCTCAGCAATGCCTCCCTCTGCAACAATGCTGTCACATTCGTACACCTGCAGAAGGGGGCCATTTGCCATCTGCTGAAATCCATGCTGAAACAGAACTGGAAGGCAGGTTAGAATTGCTCCCTGCTAGAAAAGGCTTTTTAATAAAGCTGCAGCCTCTCCTGGTCCGTGCTCTTGGCTCATGCTTTCTGTGCCTGCCCTTTAAAGCTGTACACCAGTATTCTCTGCAGTGCTGTTTCATTAGCTTGCCATTAATAAACGCTGCCAGGAACATAACATGTGATTTCCCTATTCACAAAGCTTTTTTTGGCTCTGTAAAAAAGCATTCCTTACTGCCCGTTTCCCTGACCATTATGGAAAAACAACCAGCCAGCCACACAATCAGCCACCAGACCCTGAGCAAACCATGGTGAAGTTACGGCTGACCTTCTCTGCTGGCTGGCCATCTCTTCCTGCACAGCTCTACTTCAGCTGGTGGAACCATGTTCTGCCTTCCCTGAGACAGGAACACGAACAGCCACCAGAAAAAATGTCCTGGTTTCGGCTGGGAGAGAGTTAATTTCCTTCCTAATAGCTGGTATAGTGCTGTGTTTTGGATTTAGTATG